TTCAAGCGATTCTCCTGCCTCAGCCTCCTGAGTAGCTGGGACTACAGGCACCTGCCACCACGTCCAGCTAATTTCTGTATTTTTAGTAGAGACGGGATTTCGCCATGTTGGCCAGGATAGTCTCGATCTCTTGACCTTGTGATCCGCCCACCTCGGCCTCTGAAAGTGCTGGGATTACAGGTGTGAGCCACCATACCCGGCCTAGCTTTATTTTTATCACCTCAACTGTTTCACAGCCTCTCATCATATTTTCCCTCAGCTTGCTTCTTTCCAGCCTCAAACATCCTATCCCTTTCGTTTGGCCTTCTGTTCGTCTTTGGAGCTGACTCCATAAAGTAGGACACATCATGATTTACCATAAAGAGAAGAAAATATTTTATTTATTTATTTTTGAGATGAAGTCTTGCTCTGTCATCCAGGGTGGTATACAGTGGCGCAATCTTGGCTCACTGCAACCTCTGCCTCCCAGGTTCAAGCAATTCTGCCTCAGCCTCCCAAGTAGCTGGGACTACAGGCGCCCGCCACCTCGCCCGGCTAAGTTTTCGTATTTTTTAGTAGAGACGGGGTTTCACCGTGTCAGCCAGGATGGTCTCGATCTCCTGACCTCGTGATCCGCCCGTCTCGGCCTCCCAAAGTGCTGGGATTACAGGCTTGAGCCACCGCGCCCGGCCAACACCTGGCTAATTTTTATATTTCCAATAGAAATAGGGTTTCACCATGTTGGCCAGGCTGGTCTCAAACTCCTGATCTCAGGTGATCCGCCTGCCTCGGCCTCCCACAGTGCTAGGATTATAGGTGTGAGCCACTGTGCCCAGCCAGAAAATATTTTATTTTCTTCCTTCCTTAGCGATCCTTCGCATTTTCTCAGCCCTATGTGAGAGCAGTACATAGGGTCCTTGTCTTCAGAAAGCAGGCTCCAAGGCCACTTGGACCCCATTCCTGACTTTTGATGCCTCAGAGATCATAGAGTTGTAAATATAATTAATATATAGTTGTAAATGTAATCATAAATATAGCTGAGTTTTTTTTTCCCTCTAAATCCACTGCCTCAGGCTGGGTGTGGTGGCTTACCTCTGTAATCCCAAGACTTTGAGAGGCTGAGGTTGGCAGATCTCCTGAGATCAGGAGTTCGAGACCAGCCTGGCCAATATGGTGAAACCCAGTCTCCACTAAAAATATAAAAAACTAGCCAGGAGTGGTAGTGCACACCTGTAGTCCCAGCTACTCAGGAGGCTGAGGCACAATTGCTTGAACCCAGGAAGTAGAAGTTGCAGCGAGCTGAGATCGAGCCACTGCATTCCAGCCCAGGTGACAGAGTAAGACTACATCTAAAAATAAAATAAAATAAAATAAAATAAAATAAAATAATCAATCCACTACTTCATATTTGCCTATATGAAAGCTTTAGAAGGTGTTCTTGTAGTCTACTCTTAAAGAAGATGGGGACAGGTGTGGTGGCTTACACCTATAATCCCAGCACTTTGGAAGGCCAAGACAGAATTGCTTAAGCCTAAGACCAGCCTGGGCAATACAGTGAGACCTCATCTCCACAAAAGAAAAGGGGGGAAAAAAAAGGAAGATGATTTGAGGTAAAATCTTAAGAGAAAGTGAACTAATTAGCTTATTAATGTTACTAGAAAGAAAATCTAAAGTTTAAATGCAAGTCAGCTTTTAATTTTTTTTTAATCTTTGAGACCATGTCTTGCTCTGTCACTCAGGCTAGAATACAGTGGTGCAATCAGGGCTCACTGCAGCTTCAATCTCCTAGGCTCAAGTGATCCTCCTGCCTCAGCCTCCCAAGTAGCTGGGACTACAGGTGCACACCACCACGTTCAGTTAATTTTTTGTAAAGATGGGATTTTGCCATGTTACCCAGAATGGTCTCAAACTCCTGGGCTCAAGTGATCCACCTACCTTTGCCTCCCAAAGTGCTGGGATTACAGGCATGAGCCACTGTGCCTGGCCTATTTTTTATTTTTTTGAGACAGGGTCTTGCTTCATCACCCAGGCTGGAGTACAGTGGCACACACATGGCTCCCTGTAGCCTTGACCTCCTGGGCTCAAGCGATACTCCCACCTCAGCCTCCCAAGTAGCTGGGACCACAGTCATATGCCACCACACTCAGCTAATTTTTAAATTTTTTTGTATAAACAGGGTCTCCCTATGTGAAAGTCAGCTTTTTTGTTTTTAATACATAAGTTCCTAAGTATACCAGGAGCTATTTGGGCTGAGGAGAGTGCAAAATGCAAGTATTCCAGAGGCATCTGTTTGGTAATTTTCCTCTAAGTTTGTCTTTTCTTTATGTCTGAGTCCTAATGTGTACATAAGAGGCAAATGGGATAACTTGGTTTCTACAAAAAAGAAGGGTCAGGTGTAAATTTTCCAAATACTTCACACATTCCTAAAATAGTATCTAATGGTATAAGGTAAGTAACTGGGATTAGAAATGAGAAAACTTGCCGGGTGCGGTGGCTCGTGCCTGTAATCCCCAGCACTTTGGGAGGCCGAGGCGGGCGGATTACCTGAGGTCGGGAGTTCAAGCCCAGCCTGACCAACATGGAGAAACCCCATCTCTACTAAAAATACAAAATTAGTCGGGGTGGTGGCGCATGCCTGTAATCCCAGCTACTCAGGAGGATGAGGCAGGAGAATCGCTTGAACCCAGTAGGTGGAGGTTGTGGTGAGCCGAGATCATACCACTGCACTCCAGCCTGGGCAATAAGAGCGAAACTCCGTCTCAAAAAAAAAAAAAAGGAGAAAACTTGGGTCCTGGTGTTGAGAAGCTATACTATCGCTTTTCTTCATGTCTGTACCCAAGCAGCTGAATGTTGGAGAAAAACGAACACACTGGGCCAACTGGTTTACCTTTAACATTATGATCACAAACCTCAGATGAGCACCCAATGCCACCAAGGCAATCCTGTTAAGGACTTGCCTTCCCTCTCCCCTGCATTTGCATCTGTCTTCACTTTTGTTGCCCTTATCATGAATGGAAACATCCCTGTTCCTCTCCAAGGTCAACCCTCCCTGTTTCCTTACATCTTCTCATGGATTTCACTCCTATATGGGTCAAGCAAGCCTTCTCTCTCCCGGATCACCCATCTTTCTTCCCCACTGTATCCCTCCCAACGGCACATAAACATGCTCTGGGGATCCTACCATCTTTATTATTTTTTGAGATAGAGTCTCGCTTTGTTGCCCAGGCTGGAGTGCTGTGGCGCAATCTTGGCTCTCTGCAACCTCTGCCTCCTGGGTTCAAGCAATTCTCCAGCCTCAGCCTCCCAAGTAGCTGGGATTACAGGCACGTGCCACCATGCCCAGCTAATTTTTGTATTTTTAGTAGAGACGAGGTTTCACCATATTGGCCAGGCTGGTCTCGAACTCCCGACCTCAAGTGATTCACCTGCCTTGGCCTCCCAAAGTGCCAGGATAACAGGCGAGCCACCGCGCCTGGCCCGTAGCATCTTTTAAAACATCTCTTCTTTCTATTATCTATCCCCAAACTTATCTGGTCCCTTCACAGCAAAACCTCTCTCAAATTGCATACATGTGCTGTCTCTATTTCCTCACTTTCCTGGTCACTCTTCAACCCAATCCGGTCAGGTCCACCTCCCTGATATACCCACATCAATCAAGCCAAGGCCATCAATGACATTCTCCAGTGACTTGCAAGGTGACCCAATCCAACAGCCATATCTCTGGCCCAAGTTTATCACACTGCTCAGCGGATGCCTCCTACCTGAAACCTTCTCTGCCCAGGGATTCCACAACTCAGCGCTAGATTTCATGACTTCCTAGATGCTCCCTTTCAGACTCCTTATCCATTACCCTCCCAATATTGGAGTGCCCCAGGATTTGGCTATGGAATTTCTCTTCACTCTTTCCTTCAAGCCAAGCCAGGGGTCCTAAACTGACAGCTCATCTGTGTGGTTTAATCAGCTCATGAAGTTTAAAAGCATCTGATTCAGTTGCTAACATCTAAAAACTCTGGAGATTTGACATCTTAAAAATACAGATTTTTTTATTCCTTTAGGGAAAAAAAAAACAGAGTATCTGTTATTGGGCCAGCATTCTCACAACGTAACGGTCAGCTGGATGGGGCAGAAGCTGCTCCCTAGATGCTGGGTCCATTTGATATCTAATGGAAGAATCATATTCCCTGTAAGTACCAAAAGGCTCTCCTCCCAGAGCCACCAGCACCTTGCAGTCAGTTCTTGGTCAACTTGACTGCAGGTTGGGAAGGGTCCGTAGGCGCCTCCTGGGGAGGGGTGGGACTGAATGCCTCCACTCACAGAGAACAGCTCTCCCGTACAGACAAGAAAGGTACGTTTCAGTGCTAAATACAGAAAGACCTTTCGGTAAATGAGGCGACTGCTATGATCGTGTTAAAGCATCAAGTCTGGTCTTCCGCTGCCTCTCCGGGCTGAGGTGGCTTGGGGACACCCAGAGGAAGCCCTCCTACTCTTCTCTCGCACCCGCTTTTAGGTGGCCCTCTTCTAGGGCGGAGAGATCATGAAAAGCTGCTGAGCAAGGACAGCCTTTCCAGCCGTCGCTCGCGAGGACGGAGCTAGGAGCGCGCGGGAACCGACCCGGCCTTACTCGGTGGCGGGCAGCTGTGAGACGTTCGGAAGGCGGGTCGGGCCTGGCTGGGGCGGAGACTGGGCGGGGCCGGGCCCAGGAGCCTCCTCCGCTCCACTGGCCAGCCCCGCGCGCACTTCCTCCAGCCACCCCCTATTTCCCCAACCCTGTACGGGTTCAAGGGGCCGGAGACAGCAGCTGGGGAATCAGGTCAAGCGGACTGGATCCGGCACCGCCCAGGGGCGGCGGCCTCCGCCCAGGAAGCCCCACCCAGCGGGAGCCGGGACGCCGCGGCGCCGGCAGAGCCCACGCGCGACCCGGCGAGGGCGCGGAAGGGCGCGTGCAGCGTGACGACGCGACTCGCGGCGCGTCCCGTGACGCCATCGCGCCCGCTTTTGAAAGTTGGCGCCCGGGGCCGCCTCCCATGCTGCCCTGCGCCAACCCCTCCCCTCACCTTTCCTCCCCCGCCCTCTACTCGCCGCCCGGCCGGCCCCCCCACCCGTCCCTTCCCTTATCAGCACCCGCGGCCCCGGCAGCGCCGACGCAGGCGCACTGCACCGCGCCGCCGCCATTTTGTGTCCGAGCCTGTGGAGCGATTAAACCGTGCGCGGAGCTGCTTCTTTGGCGGCAGCGGCGGCGGCGGTAGCCGGTGCGGACGCGCGGAGCTCGCCGGAGACGCCGGGTGGCCGGAGCCGTGGAGCGGCGGCGGAGCGGGCGCCGCGGGGGGTGTGGCGCGGAGGTAAGGGGGCCCGGGGTGGAGGAGGTTTCGCGGGCCGCCTCTAGGTGTCACGATGGGGCCGCTCCGGTCGGCGCTGGCTGCAGCCCGGCGCCAGCGCCGCCGCCGGGGGGTGTTTGTCTCCCTCTACCGTCCCTGCTGCGGCGCGGCCGCCGCCATTGCCCGTCGCCGCCGTGGCCTGGCCGCCCCCCCACCCCCACGCCTGTCCGCTAGGCCTCCCTCCTGGCAGCGCGCTAGGCCTTGGGCGGCGGCAGAGGCAGAGGCCCGCGCGCCCGGCGACTCCATTTTCCTTCCTTTGTCTCTGCCCTCGAGGCCGGTTCTTGGCTAGCCGATCGCCCGGCCGCGGCCCGCCCTCTGTCCTGTGTCCTCCGCCCCTCCTGTGGCGGGTGGCACCAGCTGAGACGCTATCTCCGCGTCCCGGCTTCGGCGCCCGCCTAGCTCAAGGGTTCGGACCCACTGCCACCGCGCGCTCAACCAGGTCCCGGTGCCGTATGGGTGTCGGGCCCTGGCCGTCGCGTCTCGGGCTGCCCCTCCTCCAGCCCGCCCCGTCCCCGGAACCTACCCTGCCGCCCTGCGTGCCTCCCCAGCTGCTTGGCTGCTCGGCGGTCGCTCCCAGTCCGCGCGTCGCTGCCGCTGGTCTCCGTCTCCGCCGAGTGGCGCAGGCGGCGCTGCAGCGGCTGCGAGCAGAGGGACCCCAGAGCTGCCGAGAGCTCCCTCTGCAAGGCTGGCTGAGCTGCTCGCACCTCTACGCCGCCTGAGCGGGCGGGGGGACGCGCGCTCGCCGCCCCCGCTGCGCCCCCAAACTCGCGCCCGGGCTCCTGGCCGGACCCGACCGGTGCGGGCCCCCCTCAGGGGGCGGAAAAGATGCGAGTTCCGCACCAAGTAGTTTTTATCCATCCGGGTTCGGACTCCCCAGCCCCTTGGAGTGATGGCAACCTGACTGTGCGCTCAGAGATCTCAAAGGGACTGAAACTTAAATTTCACTCTGATCTCAAGTGACGTGACAAATTTCTGAATTTAGGAGTATGGGCTGAGTCCTTAGAGTTTCCCTCCCGCTTTAAAATGTCCTCACACTAACTTAGTACCTGATGCTCTAGGGCTAGGCGAAGGCGGTTCTGCCCCGGGATTGTGCAACTCGATCTAGAGCGCCAGTAGGGCAGAATGAATTTATTCTTGACTGGTAATTTGCCCATACGATGAAATATGAGGGTTGATGTTGTAATTGAATCCTGGGTCACTTGCTGCAGATGGTTTATAAATATCTACGCCTAATGTAACTACTGTTTAGTAGGAGACTTCCTGTAGCCCCGAGTTCAGCGTTAAGTAAACATTCTCGCATACGTAGTCTTCATACTTTGAGTTTCAGTCAACTAGGAAAGTTAAAACTCCAAGTCCGCATAGGTGGGAAAGGAGGTTAAACAGGGCATATATTTAAATTTATTCGGTCCTTAAGTTTTCTTCACTAAAAAGCTTCCCGTTGAATTGCGGGAGTCTTTTGCTTTTCCTTAAATATTCTAGTGCCTTAATACAGTTCAGTGCAGCAGTGGCTGTATCAGTTTGGGTTGTTTTGGAGAAAAAAAAGTCTGGATTAACATCTTTTTAGGAAGAAAGCTATGTTAAGTTTATGAAGAAATTAAACAGCCTGATCCTAACCAAAGTTGTCCAGTCCACTGTATGTAATCTCAATCTGTAGCTCCTCACTGCAGTCCTCTTCGTAGGCACGCTTTCTACGTCTCCTTTTGGAACCCTGCAATATGTTCCTGCTGCCCCTCTTCCTGAATAAAATTGGAATGAGTAAATGCAGTAGCGTTGATTGATAGACTTGAGAATAGAATCACCTTTAATTATCTAATGTGTTAATCCAATTGTATAATTTATTGCATTCTTTTGTGACTTTGTTTTCCTTTTGAAATTGTGGTTAAGTGGCATGTTTTATTTAAGCTCAATATTGAGTTAAAAATTAAAATACAGCAGGTGTGTAATTGAGCCAGAAGTAAAGCTTGTTTTGCCGGGTTAGTACTGTGCTCCATAGACCATATTTTACTTCTTGATTTGGTTGTTTCATATGCAGTCATCGGCTTCTTGAGTTTATACATCATTTATGCTGTTTTAGTGGGATAGACCTTTTCCACATAGTTGCTATCCTTTGAAATTCCCATATGCCAGGAATCATACTTTGTTTTGTTTTTATTAGAAAAGTAAATCTACAGAGAGAATAAATTGAGGATGAAATGATATGTCAGGGTAACCCAGAAGACTTTTTTTTTTTT